CTTCTTGTCTAATTATTTTTACTTTTTAGTTAAATTAATTATTTAAATATTAAATCTTTTTATTTTTTAAATGTTAAAAAAACAAAAGTGAATGAGTCAATGATTTCTTTAATGTCCCGATTAATCCCAAGTAAAGCTATCTGATGAATTATGTGAAAAACAGAGGAGAACTACAAAATTCCAAGTATTCCCCTTTTAAAATTTTAAAACTGAAAAACTTGTATTCTCAAAAAACCCATTCTCGAAATGAGTCAAAAATTGAACATCTCAGACTTGAAAGATATTTTCGAGATGGACTTGACAAAAAAGGAGCCCACTCCACAGAAGGCGGTCGAGAACACAAAAATGACTGGTCAAAACAAAGAGATTCTTATGAAATTTGAAGTTCGTGTTTTTCTTCAGTGATCTAATCATTTTAAAATAAATCATATTATTAAGATAAATTAATCAGTGTTGTTTAATAAAACGTACAGAACAAAAACTTAACTGAAGCTGTATGACACAGAACACACAAGAGAGTTGGATGTGTACCAACTCAAGAAGTATATACAACGTGAGTGGGGAGTCTGTCTGAGCGAGGAAACAATTAAATACCATTGTGGTCAAACCTTTCTTGAAAAGGCTTATAAAGTCCAATATACCGAGTTCATAGCGTTTCACAAATACATTGCGGCAAACATTGAGGAGATTCGCGTTTGTTTTGTCAATTTTGTTTCCCCATTAGCTCCGCTGTTCCATCACTAAAAATGAGAAACTATAACAAATAATTTGTGATAGTATTTCATTTTTGATAAGAAATAAGTGGTGGAATACCGCCATGTAAAAGGCCAGAAATTACGTGTAGAAAGAGAACACTGAGTCTGTTTTCGACACATTCGAAAAGCAGTTTGCGGACACCCCTGGTGTAGATATTCAGTTTAAGTATTTGGATAAAAACCTCTTTGTGATCAACAATTTCGAAAAGCCGCACGCTCTTGTTTCGATGAAACAGAAACAACCCAACGCGACGGATAAATACCATAGTTTGATGTATACACAAATATTTTCACCGACAATTTCGGTGTTTATAAATCAAAAGAGCTACGTGAATACTCTTGACCCGCACAAGGATAAAAGTCTGCCAATCACTATGGCATCTGCTGAGATGTTTGATGTTGACTCATTGTTGCAATCCGACACGCGAAAGACGAGTGCACGAAAAAAGAAGAATAAATTTTTGTTTCAGTTTTATAACCCGAAACTGAGCCAAGAGGACTTCTTGTATTCGACAAACCTGTCTTCTTCACAGCCAAGGAACGTCAACAATTTGCTTAAAGTGAAACGACCGTCGATTGTGAATATCACTCATTTTAAACCGTACCAACATTTTGATACTTTCTTCTGCCGCATGTCTCTTTATGACATGAGTTACAACAAGTTGACGTCTGATTTTTACTTTGTAATTGATTCCAAAGTCTTGAAGGCGCACGTTGAACGAAGGGAGTCCCTTGGTATCCCAATAGTGTCGATGACTCTTGGCCAGGACTTTATCAAAGAGACTGAAAATTATGTTGTGTTGGAAGTGTTCAAACCGATGGACGCAGATATCAACTTTACACGAGATTATTTAACAGAAGACTCGAAACGGGACCAAAAAATGATGAAGAAATTTGCGGACAAGATGCGCGATTCTGAAAAAGTGTTTGAACAAAAAGGGTTGTTACAACTTGTACTGTTTAGTGCGACAGCGGTCAAGTTCAAAGGTGCTTACGACAATTTGAAATTGGTGAGGCCGATTGGTGACCCGAAAGATGTTCCGACGATGATCAAAGACGTAGAAAAGATGAAGAGTGCTGGGGAGTGGAGTTTTGTGTTTAAACCGTCGAAAAAGGAGATTACACACCACGACGGGTTGATTAAGTTTTACAATCCTGAGAAGACGGAAGGGGAACAAGTCACCACCATGACCGAATTGAATTTGTACGACAAAGAGGAGATCTTCATGGACTACGAGAATCTGTTTTTCTTGTATCCGACTGAAATCTGTTTGGGGAAAGAACGAAAGAAGTCTGGCATCTGTTGTTCGATCTTTGTGAGAGAGAACGACGACTTTTTTGTCCCGGGGAAGTCGAATGTGCTGAACGCTGTTTATCCACAAGACAACAAACTTATCCAACAACTGTCAAACGCATTTACGACATCCGTTTCAATTGAAAAAGTTGGTCATTTTATAGATGAGGTGAAGATACAACTCCCTTTTCCACTCACGGAGAAACATCACATTCTGATCCAAGTTCGAGACGTCTCAGTGGAAGATGGAAGTGAAGGAAAGTTGTTTTATGCGAAATTGCCTCTCCTTGATAATGGACATATTATCAGTAACGGAGAACACACCGTGCAAATCATGAAAGACATGACAAACAAATACTTAAATTACATCGACAACTATGATGTGACCAAAATATTTGTCAAAGTCAATGTGAGAATTGTTTCGACGATATACCCGCAAAATCCCGAGATCTACCGATTCCTTGTTGGAGGACTTGGTGTCGAAAGTGTGTTGGGAACGTTGTTCCGAACGGACTTGATTCATTTTCTGCCTAGTGTACTCACAAAATGCGTTGAGATCATCGGCACTGAGAAGAAGGAAGACATCTTTAAAGTGTTTGAGATCTTCAAAATGATTGATGAGAGAAGAGAAACGAATATTGACCAAGAAATGAACTACCGCATCTATAAGAACAGTATCTTTGTCGATGCAATCAGCCATTTTGTCCCATACCGACTTGCGGACGGGAGATATATCTGCGACATCTTACTCACACAACTCCCTGTGATCTTTGATTTGGATAAAACAGACGTGAAATATCGGATGAGGTATTCGTGGATTATCTTCTCGTTGTTGATTAAAGGAATCATTGGGTATTATAATGACTATAAAGTGTTTGAATACCCCAACTTCCATGACTTTAACACAACACAAAACAAAGACTTCAAGAAAAATTGCTTTAAAACAAACGTCCAGAAGTATTCGAAATTCATCAAAGAGTTCTGTGACGGGGAAGTTGTTGGAGCTTCGGTCATTCGAGAGGCCAATTTGTGTTTTGCCGAATTTATCAGAGACGCGTCACTGTTGTGGAGAAAAGACGAAATTGTTGAAATCATCGACGAACATTTGGACACCCTTTCAATGCTTAAAGTCGACTCGTATGGACTCCGAGTGGACTTTACTCAACTGTTGCGACTTGAGTTTGTTTCAGTATTGATTGAGAACGACCAGATCTTTGCTTTGAATGGCCCACAGTTACTTGAAGTACAAGAAATCAACAAGTTGAATGATTTGTTGGCGCAGAGACACACTCAGATGTTCATCTTATTGCGACAATTCTTTTTATTAATTATGAGCCAAGACAAAAGCATCTCAAAAATGGCGTTGGAGGAACTTTTGATTGTGACGAACAAATTTGATTTAGACAACTCACTGTCGGAGCAAGGGAAAAGAGACAAGTATTTCAGTATGCTCCTTCCATTTGTTCTGTTCATGTTGGATGACAGTGACAAAATCAATGAGTGGAAGGCGAAGGACTGCTTTGCTGATTTGAATGATATCAAGTCGCTGTATGTTGTGTTCTTTTTCATCATTAAAAACTTGCGAGAGGAAACGATTCAACAATGGTTGGTGTCTGATTTTCTTCCTTCGTTGTTAAATTCCCTTTTAATGCACATCAGAAGAGCTTTGTTGTTGTTCTCGAGATACCCATACACTTTTCTGGCAAATTCGACAATGACGTTCAAGAAGGAACTGAAGAACATTTTGGTTGATTTCCACAAACGGGGAGAACCAACAACACCACCACTCTTTACGCGATCAAACACATCGACGACAAAGTCACACATTTCGTTCCAGACGAGTACACTGTCGTCGTCGGCAAGACCATTGAGCAAAGGGAAAAGTTCCTTTTTTGAGGAGAATAAAAGTCGCAAGGACGACGACTCGAAAATTGGGTTTGACAGTGACAAAAAGATCACGGGGTTTGTGGATAACGCGAATCGAGCACATCTCACAACGATGCGAGTCAGACAAAACGTTTTGTCGAGTGGGGAGTCGACCTTTGAGAAGTCAGTCAATGAAGAACTTGTGGTCGAGATTGCGCTAATTGCGATGGACTTGGTTGAGACAACTATTGGAACGTTGATAAGAGAAGAGAGTACACAGGCACTTGACAGAGCTCAAGACATCATTTCAAGTGTGTTGTTTGAGGTGGGCATGACGGATAGTTACATGCCGAGTTTGTATGATTTTATACGAATCATTGTGACGACCTACCGGGTCTTTATCTTCACAAAACCAAATAAACTTTCGATGAGTTTGTTGAAGAATTTGTTGAAACAGGCGAATTCGACGAACGCACTGAATCAGAAATTTGCGAAGAATCTCATCTTCATCTTCACGAAGACGAACTTTGTGGCGGTTGGAAACACAGTCTCGACTGTTGTGAATGCGACGAGCGCGTTGTCTGAATTGCAATTCAATGATTTGGGGAGGATTGGGGAGTGTGTGAACAATCTTCTTGAATTGGCGAAACAGTATTATGAGAATTTTGATATCAAGTTGGAGAAGTGCATTGCGCTGTCGCTCCAAGATGGGTTGAGAAAGATGAAATCGTTGCAACGGGTACATAAAATGTATCAAGCGCTTGATGTTGGGGATTTGGATGTCTTCATCACATTTGTGACCGACTGTACAACAGTGATTGACGAAATACTTGACTTCACGATGAAGGCTGAGCCTTCGATAGTGAATGGGTACATTGAAATGAAAATCCAAATTGTGAAGATGATGCGACAAGACGAGGTGTTTAAAATGATAGCGCAGTGGATTGTATTGATTAAGACGAAAGCGCAAAGTGCTTCTGAGACGTTCATTCCGTTTTTGAAAGGCAAAATCGAGTATTTAGAAATGTTGTACAAATTGTGTCAACAAAAGGTGGACGATTTGGATCGCTATTGCGTGTCTTCAGCAACGGAAATGAAGGAATTGGAAGCGGAGTGTTTGTTGAATAAAACGATAGGAGAGCAGTTGTTGAGTATAGTGAAGAATAGTATTACCATCGACTCGTGTGACTTAGAAAATATGACAAACGACCAACTCATCCGCAAAATTGAAGTTTTGGAAAAGGAACAACAGAAGCGTGCGAGTGATATCAACGCAGTGTTAGAACAATACACTTCTTTTGATGAGACTTTAAAGACATTTCGACTTGCATCGAATCCACTGTTCCCAGTGACGAGTTTGGATATGTCCGATGGCGTGAAAAGAGTGTTGCTGTTACATCAGTCGCGAATCAAAGCGGTGAACAGTCACTTACACACCCGCACGTCGTTTGATTCGGAAACTGAGCGATACAAAACCAAAATTGTTGATTTTGAGAACATCATCCATTCGAAATTTATTGATATAGTGACCGATATCATGAAACTCCCAATGAACGTCTCTTTTATGAAGGAATCTGTGAGTAAAATCGAATCGTTGGTTCAGTTGTACTCCACGGACGTCTCCCATTTAGAATCGAAGAAAATCAAAATGGGAGGATTGCGACCGACATGGGAAATAGCGTATTACAGTTGGGAAGAGGCGGTTTTGAACGCGATTTCGTGTATGGAGTGGCTCTTACAACTCTTGAAAACTGTCAAAAGCAACGAAGAGAATGTTCAACAGATGCGTGGGTGGTTTAAGGTGGAAAGAGAATTCATTCAAAATGTGTTGTCGTCGTATTTGTGGGACGGGTTCTACACGTCGTGGGACAAAGTCACGATGAGAGCGTCGAACGACTTTTTGGAAGTTCTTTCGCAGATGTCGTTGTACTTTATGACGAACATGAACACTGCGAAGGCGGGGTATAAACGAGCTGGAACACTTCTTCAGGAGCTGAGAAAGAGAAAGAAACTGCCGCTTGGGTTTCCTTATATTCAACACATCAAAGAAGAACATTTTGAGCAACTTTCGATGGTTGCTGAGTTGTACCAGAAGAAGAGGGAAGATGAATTAACTCGAGAGAATATCAGAAAACAATACGCTGCACTATTTAAACAGTTTTATGTTGAAACGGACAAATTGATGGAGAGAAGTGGAGGGATTCCGATGAGCGAAATTGCGAAAATCCAGAATTTGAGAGACAAGTTGTTAGTATTTGAAGAACAAAAAGTGATCAAATTGAATAGGTACTGCGACTTGGAAAGTATGGACCAAACGGTGTGGGTGCGATGTCAAACGTTGGGAATACAAGAAAAGGACGCGACGCCGAAGTCCCCACGAACTTCGTTTATTAAGACGTACGATGGATCGCGAAGTCCAAGTCTAATTGGATCGAACCAAAGTCCACAACCTTCAACGACAACAAACACATTTATGCAACGAGCGAAAAGAGCGGGAGACGATTTAAGAGACATCACCGGGTTCTTTGTTGATAACAAAGGGATTATCCGTGCGGACTGTTTCCATGACTTGTCGTACGGACAGAGAGACGTGTTTAATGAGGACCTCAAATTAGTGATAGACGAGATATCGAAGATTTTGAGTAACTTAATTGTGTTGAACAACTTTAATACGACGGACCCCCAACTCATATTGGAAAAGTTCTATCGCTTTGCAATGGATTATGTTTCTGCGCCACAACTTCATATGACGTGGATCACTAATTTGGCGAAACAACATCGCGAGCGGTTTGAATTTATCGAGGCAGGGATGTGTGAAGTGCATTTGATCAATTTCATCCACCACTTGTTGCCGGAGAATGAACGGAAAATAGAAGTGTCGATTTTGAACAAAACGTTTGGGAATTTCATCCCAGACACGTCAACGCCACCAAATCCACAATTTTCGGCAAATTTGAGCGAAGAGTCCCTTTTGAAACATATCACCGCGGCGTATGAAGATTTTGAGAATGGACAATTGCCGTGGTACGGACTTACTGTGTCGTCTATAGTCATTCCGTACTACACCGAGAAGAAGAAACTGAAAGAACTGGTGAAGACCCACGAGTACGTCAACAAGATGTACGACTTGATGGTGAAACATAATGAAGACGGCCAGATTAAGGACTTTCTGCAATTCTATTATGTCAAATTCTTTGGGAGTGTGTTTGGGGAGATGAACAAGAAAAGTTTCATTTACGCGACGAAGAAGGACAAAGTGTCCCAATTGATCATTGAAATCAACAAGATTCTGCCAGTGTCATTTAGTGGAGAGAAGCACTATTTGAGGTTCTTTGAACAAGTGAACAGTGAGGTTGAGAATTGTGGGGATAAGGAGTGTTATATTTTGTGGACGAATGTCCAGCCGGTGTATGAAAAGGGAGAATATGTGCAATTTACTTCGAGGTTTATATACGACGATATGTGTCTTGACAGAAAAGAAGGAGATGAGCTGCTTGAAATAGAAAAGGCGCCAGCTGTGTCGTTGTATAAGAAGCGGACGGTGATGGATATCGAACTTGTGTTACCTGGCTTGTTAGGAAGACAAACGGTGATCAAAGAAAGTGTTGTACAACTTGGGCCAATTGAAATAGCAATTGAAGAAATTGAGACGAGAAAAAGAGGTGTTGAAAAGTTCTTGGAGGAGAGTAAAAAGTTCTTTGGCGAGGTGGCGTTTGATTATATCACTTTTCTGCAGAAGAAAATTGGAGACTTCTTCTTTGGATATAAAGACCAGAACGATATTGCTTATGGGAAGTTGAATGCATACGACAGAATGAAGGTGTTGGAAATCATCGAAGTCTTTTTCAGCGAGGAGTACGATTTAAAGAATCAAGAAATACTCTTCGAGATGCTCAAAGAAACAATTAACTTGACTAAAGAAGGCCTGGCTATTATTAAAGAAAACTCAAAGGCTAGAACTAGCAGCGCGAGTTTGGAGAACTTAATTAGACACTCTTTGAGAATAGAGAGGGTTCTTGATATGCTCGATACAAAGATGAATGAGAAAAAAGAACATTAAACATACATTTTGTTATTCAGTTTTATTAATAATTATATTAATAAGTATTTTTAATAATTATTTTATTAGTTATATGAATAATTAAAACATATTATTATTAATAAATTAGAAATAAACTATAATAAAAACCACCTTCAAATAGTAAAAAAGAACTTTATAAAACAAACATAAACAATGTCAGGCTCGTTTCTCCCATTAAAAAGAGCGTATTATGCATTTAAAATAGAAGGGGACGAGAAGGTATTTGGTGAAAATAGTCGAGAGAGTGTTGTTAATGGGATAGTAGAATATTTTAAAAAGACGTTTAAGGCGTATCCGATGGTGAGGTGGTTTTGGATGGTGGAGTACTCGGGGGGATATTTTGGGTTTCAGACTATTTTTTCGTGTAAAAAAGCGTATTGTTTGTCATTGAAACGCAGTTTTGAATTGTATGGGGTTCTTTTGGAGTTGAAGGATTTTACTGAGAAGCCGAAGGCGATTCCATTCAATACGATTGTAAAGAAATACATAGAGTTTTGTATAAATAATGGCGTGAAGTATTATTTAGAAGATGACACAGGTGTGTTGATGAAGTATGAGGACAAACTCAAACTTCAAAAGGAATGTCAACCCATTTCAGTTGTGACAAAAAGTAGCAAAGAAGAAAATTTACTTCCAAAAGATGACCACCAAGAAAAAGAAGTGCAAACGGAAAAGAAACAAGTGAAATCGACGAGAAAGAAAACAAAGAAAGAAGAAATAGTTAAAGATATAGAAAAAGATATTAAAAAGAATGAAACAGTGGTGGGCGATTGGAATACAACAATTGAAGGAACTGTTCTCGACGATAAAAATCACGAAAAAAATGAAAGAATGACAACAGCAGAAAATGGTGAAAAAAAAGACGAAAAACAAAACGAAGACATCAAAAGGAAAAGAGACGGCCAATCACAGAAAAAAAGAATTCCAAAAAGAACACAAACAAACGTCAAGACGTCAAAAGAAGAAAAGGAAGTGACGACTTCCGAAGAGATTGAGATCAAAAACACCAAAAAGAACAAAGAGAAAAGGTTAGAAATTCAATGGAATTGTAACAATGAAGAAGTCCGACTTTTGCGACAGAAGATTTTTCGAATCAAAAGAGGAGAAGGCGATGATTTAATAATTTTAGTTGGAAGAGACAAACAAGAAGAGCTCATTTATTTACTTTGCAATTATTTAGAAAAGAATTGCTGTGTCATCGCGTCGGGCTTTTTGAGAGATGAGGAGACGACAGAGAAGTATCGACTTCGGATTGGAGCAAATGGGTATTATCAAACAAAATGGGAGCAACTACGAAGGGATACGACAGTGAAAGACGTCATTGTAGTTCAAGAAGAGGTTTATCAATATATTCCAGACATCAGTGAAGGGTTAGACGTCGTTCTTTTGAATAAAGGAGAAGCTCATTATTTAAAAGGAATCGGAGAGTATTTAATAACACAAGAGATCGATGTTATAACTAATGAACATGTCCTCGATGTCGATGATCAACTTGAAAAAAGCCAAAGCTTATTGGAAAGTGGATTCGGGACTGTACCTCTCGTTATCGAAATCACTAATAACGATATACAGGACCAAAGTCATCTCGTCAATCTCGATGTTATTCCTCATAACATCCCAAAACCGTTTTCGGATGACGTGTCTATAATCGATTTTTGAGGAATTGATCTACTAATTAATAAACTATTTGTTATAGTTCATTGAAACAATCGAAGAAAAATAAAAATTTGGTTAGCGATGATCCTGTTTTTTCTGGTATAAATTGGACTGATTACAATTTCTAATCGATATGGAATACAAGTTTATAATGATATAGTAAAAAACTAATTTAAATTAATTTACTAATTTAAAATAGTAAACTAAACTAATTTAATTTAAATTAAATTTAAATATTAATAGATATTAATATTAATATCTATTACTAGTATATCTAGTACTTCTAATAAAAGAAATAGTTAATTAATTAATGAATTTATTATTATTATAATTTATTATTTAATACAAAGATTTCCTTTTGTAATTGATTAAAAAACAAAAAGAAACAAAAATTACTAAATATTTAAATTCAAAACTATTTGTTATAATTGTATTATAGTCACCCGCTAAAAGCAATAAAAACACGACAAATGGTCTAAAGAAACTATAATTTATTATTTTAAACTATAATTGTAAAAAACAGTGAAAATAACACAAATAACATTAAAAAACAAAAAACAAAAAAATCACATTAAATCAATTTTTGTCAAGCTTTTTAATTGGTTTAAAAGATAACGGCAATCAATTAATACATGACACTTTGGGGTGTTTTGTCAATCTAGTTGACTATGACAGCTTGTTTAAAAGCAATAATATTAAAAAGAGGTGTTGTAACCACAAATAAAGAATCCACCAATATCATTAACTATTAGTCTGTTTCCGAGTTCAATAATGTGAAAAAATGTTTTTTCTAAAACAAATTACCATCCACATTTTCCTTCTCGACTTCTTCTTGAAAAAGCAAATTTACAAAACCGTCTTTCGCTTTAAAAGAAGACATTCTACTTTTAAGCCCACCAAATATCCCCAAATCAAGAACTTGAAGAAAATGAGAAGCATACGGAGTTAAGCTAACAAAGGTTATGTTATTTTGAGTGAGCAACACAATGAATCTGATACATCTAAAGAATTGGTTGAATTGTCAAAACCCATCCCAGTTGCAGGTTTGGTTTTTTGGTATTGTCCAAATAAATGCACATGTACGGCATTATTCATTAAAATTGTTTTTCAGTTCACCTTTAAACTATTTTTGACAATGTATTATAATTTAGTAAAATTTTAGTTTATTTTGAAATACTTTCGATATAAAGAAATTAATGTCAAATTGAAACACAATCTAAAATCATAATTTCAAAAAACTATAATATGGTTTCTTTAGACCATTTGTCGGAAATTTATACCTTTTAGCGGGTGACTATAATAGTTTGTTATTATAGTAATAGTTACAATACACAATTCAGACAATATTCTCTTAAAATTATAACTTTTGATAACATATAAAAAAACGAAAAAAGAAAATGTTTTTAAAACTATTAATAATCGTTTCAATTACTATAAGTGAATATGGCATTTTTTTAGTGGTATGATTTGTAACCACATCACTGGTATTAAAACATTTTATATGTATTTTGGTGATTGTCTCTTTAAAATGCTACGTGATGTATATAAATAGATATTATTGAAAGCGAAACCCCAACAACCCGACAGATTTTTTTTTCTTCTTATTAATATAACAATCCCATTCATTGAGAGTTGCTTGTGGTGTTATTATTTCAATTATTTTCCTTTCATCTGATAAATCCAAGTGGAGCAGTTTGTCGTCCAAAACTAAAAGGTTCTATAATAAAAACTACATGAAAGAAGGCGTGCCGTTTAAATGTTATCCATTCAAAAAATAGTAAAATTAAACTATACAATAAGTAAAAAGAAACTATACAATCATCTTCATTCCATACTGAGGCATTTTGAGCTCCTGCCTCCAACTGTCTACTACAGGATTTTGAAAATAAAAATATCCTTTCCACTAAGTACTGGTTTCACAATACTATAATTGAATAATTTAAATATAGTACATTGATTTATTTTCATTGTTTTAAATTCCTTTTTACAAATACAGCAGTAGATGACTCAATTTGAATGAAAGTGAAGTAAGTACTGTTTTATCTGTTCAATCGGGAAAGGTTCCATTTTAAAAGACCGAAATTCCACCCAAAAAGGTTTAAAATCGTTCACTCTGTAAACAGTCCACAAGATTCAATGAAGGCGACACTGATTAGCAACGAGGCACTCAAACAACGAGAAGGGCGGAACAAGCGAGCTTTATGTAATCGTGAGTTATTAATTCTCTCACTTGCATGTGGAGCTGAAGTGACAATAGATAAGACCAAG